CCAGCTAGCAGTTCTACCGTGTAACTCAGTTCTGACACCATCTATCTGGACATAGCATCAGATCCCATAGGTTGAGTTCAGTCCTAGAGGGAAGACAGCCCCACTTTTGACTCCAGTAGTCAAAAGTCCAAGTTGTCACTGTGCTTATGATCCACCAGCTTTGAATCAGAGGTTCCCACAATCTCCCTCCTTGAGTTGGATCATTTTCTAGAACTGCTCAGAGAACTCAGGAAAACAGTTTACTTATCAGATTACTGATTTATTGCAAAGAATAGTAAAGGATATGAATGCAAAGCTGGATGAAGAGTTAGAAAGGGTGAGGTCCAGAAGGGTCCCAACACAGGAGCATCCCTGCAGAGTTTGAATGTGCCATCTTTACTGCATGTAAATGAGGTCTTCTTCACCAACCCAGCTCTCCGAACCTTGTCCTTTAGAATTTTTATAGTGGCCTCATTAGGCCAATACTGATTAAATCATCAGCCATTAGTAATTAGCTCAATCTCCCCTCCCCAGAGAGCAGCTGATGGGCCTGAAAGTTCTAATCACATGGTCGGTTCCCCCTGGCAATCAGCCACCAACCTGTGCATATCAAAGAGCTTTCAAAATATCACCTCATTGGTAAAATTGTCATTATATATACATGACATGATACTACATATATAAAACCCTAAAGGCTCCACAAAAAACTACTAGAACCTATAAATGAATTCAGGAAGGTAGCAGGATACAGGATTAACATACAGGAATCTGTTGTATTTCTTTACAATAACAATGAAATATCAGAAAGGGAAATTTTTTTTAAAGTCCCTTTTTAAAAAAAATTGCATCAAAAAATAAAATACTTAGGAATAAACCTGATCCAGGAGGTAAAAGACTTACACGCTGAGAACTATAAAATATTGATAAAGGAAATTGAAGATGATTCAAAGAAATAGAAAGATTATCCCATGCTCTTGGATTGGAAAAATTAATATTGTTAAAATGGTCATACAACCCAAAGAAATTTACAGGTTTAATGTGTTCCCCATCAAATTACCCATGACATTTTCACAGAACTAGAACAAACAATTCTAAAATTTATGTGGAACAGTTACTGACCAGGGTTCTTGGACTCCTTAATCAACAGAAATTGACAAGAGCAGACAAGAAATTCAGGCGAGGCTTTATTGGGATTCCTGCTGCAGCACAAGGGAGTAAAAACAAGCAACAGGTTCCCTTGCTCGTATCCTGAGGGGGGTCAAACTGGTTCCTTAAATGGGGTGAGGGTAGAGGTGGGTGCAGGGCTCAGGCCAGAGGGGTGATTTAGGTGGTATGCCCACCCTCTTTGGTCCTGTGTGCAGAGATCATGTGCAGTACCCTACTTTTGCTCCTAACACCTCAGAAGTGGCAGTTGACTTTTTACTCTTTTTGTATCTTACTGTTCATAATTTGCCACAACTGAGCATGCATGCAGTTATATTAGTCCCTTATACTTCCTTTGTATTCTGTTGCTCAAGGAGATGTTTGTCTAGGTGCAAGCACTGCAGCAAAGGGTCCCAAGTCCCAGCCTGTCTCAGAACCACAAAAGACCCAGAATTGCCAAAACAATACTGAGGAAAAAGAGCAAAGCTGGAGGCACAACCTTTGCAGACTTCAGACAATATTACAAGGCTATAGTAACCAAAACAGCTGATATTGGTACAAAACAGACATATAGATCACTGGAACAGAACAGAGAGCCCAGAAATAAACCCACACACCTACGGTCAATCTTCAACAAAGGAGGCAAGAATATACAATGGGAAAAGACAGTCTCTCCAGGAAGTAGTGTTGGGAAAGCTGAACAGCTGCATGTGTATCAATGAAGTTAGAACACTCCCTCACACCATACACAAAAATGAACTCAAATGACTTAAAGACTTAAATATAAGACATGATACCATAAACCTCCTAGAAGAGAACACAAGCAAAGCATTCCTTGACATAAATCATACCAATGTTTTCTTAGGTCATTCTCCCAAGGCAATAGAAACAGAAGCAGAAATAAACAAATGGGACCTAATGAAACATAAGCTTTTGCACAGCAAAGGAAATCATAAACAAAATGAAAAGATATCCTATATAATGGGAGAAAATATTTGCAAAGGATGCGACTGACAAGGACTTAATTTCCAAAATATACAAACAGCTCATACAGATCAATATCAAAAAAAAACCCCCAAACAATCCAATCAAAAAATGGGCAGAAGACATAAATGGACATTTCTCCAAAGAAGACATACAGATGGCCAACAGGCACATGAAAAGATGTTCAACATTGCTAATTATTAGAGAAATACAAATCAAAACTACAATGAAGTATCACCTCACCCAAGTCAGAATGGCCATCATCAAAAAGTCTAAAAATAATAAATGCTGGAAAGAGTGTGGAGAAAAGGGAACCCTCCTACACTGTTGATGGGAATGTAAACTGGTGCAGCCACTATGGAAAACAGTATGGAGATTCCTTAAAAAACTAAACATAGAGTTACCATATGATTCAGCAGTCCCACTCCTGGGCATATGTCTGGAGAATACTCTAATTTGAAAAGATACATGCACCCCAATGTTCATAGCAGCACTATATACAATAGCCAAGACATGGAAGCAACCTAAATGTCCATCAACAGATGAATGGATAAAGAAGATGTGGTATATATGTGCAATGGAATACTACTCAGCCATAAAAAGAATGAAATATTGCCATTTGCAGCAAAGTGGATGGACCTGGAGATTGTCATACTAAGTGAAGTCAGACAGAGAAAGACATATATCATATGATATCACTTTTATGTGTAATCTAAAAAATAATTCAAATGAACCTATCTACAAAACAGAAGCAGATTCACAGATACAGAAAACAAACTTATAGTTACCAAGGGGGAACGGTAAATTAGGAGTTTGGGATTAGCAGATACAAAGTGCTACATATACAACAGATAAACAACAAGGTCCTACTGTACAGCACAAAGAACTGTATTCAATATCTTGTAATAAAATATAACAGAAAAGAATCTGAAAAAGAAAATATATATACTTATATACACATAGTTATATATGTATAACTGAATCACTTTACTGACACCTGAAACTAACACAACACTGTAGATGAACTATACTTCAATTAAAAAAAAAAGCACCTCATTAACATAAACTCAGGTGTGGTTAGATTTAAAAATGGCTTGTTATAAATAACAAGACACTCATTTCACCTTTTTTAAATTGAAGACTGTTTGAGTTACAATATTATATTAGTGTCAGGTGTACAACATAGTGATTCCAAATTTTTACAGATTATATTTCATTAAAAGTGGTTACAAGATAATGGCTATAATTTCTGTGCTATGCACTGTATTTCTTGCTGTTTGTCTATATTTCATACATAGTAGTTTATATCTCTTAATTCCATACCCCTAATTTGCCCACCCCCACCTTCCCTCTCACCTCTGGTAACCACTACTTTGTTTTCTACATCTGTGAGTCTATTTCTGTTTTGCACATACATTCATTTATATTATTTTTTAGATTCCACATTAAGTGACATCGTACATTATTTGTCTTTCTCTATCTGACTTGTTTCACTAAGCTTAATATTCTGATGTGATTTTAGGAACTGAGGGCAAAGCCCAGATATTAAAACGAAAGATGCCTCTTGCTCTAATCTCCTAGAGTGTTACAAGCGTTCTGAGAGCTGTGAGCCAGGAACAATGGATGAAGACCAAACTATCTTTCTTATTATATCACAATGTCACAGTCCACACCCTGGACTTCAAACACAGATCCCCTTACAGCAACATGATCTTAAAAGTCAAAAGATACCAGTTACTGGAATAACATTCAGTCACCAATAATTATCCACTCCATCATCACCATATAAAATTTCTCCAGGGAAAGGCCACTCAGGTTGGACAGCTGTCGTTTGAATACACCAGTTTCCAAGAGGAGGAACAGTCTTGACAGACAGGTTTACTCCATCAGGCCTCTGATATCACTGAGCTAACAGACAATAGCATCTCTTGCTCGGAGGTGCTATTTGAATACTGGAGTTCCCTTATGACATAACCAATTTAGTCTTTCCTTTGCCCTCAGTTACCATTACTTTCTCCATTTATCCCCAATCTTTTCCACCTTCAGAAAAGACACAGAGTGCGATAATGGTGGTGGTCTACACTGCATGCAGCAATCCTAGTCTGGTGAGTCCTTCCCACCCAGTCCACTCCTGTTCCCAACAGGGCAGCTACACAGATCCAGAACTGGCAGGTTGCCTTTACCACCAGGCAGCACAGTTATATTTACTGTTAGCCCCAATTTTGCCAGGCCCTAAGGAATTCTGATGTGATTTTAGGGGGTGGGTGTAGGCCCCTGCCTGAAGGCTCTAGAGAATAAGCCATGGGCTGAACTGATAAACAAGCTGTGAGAAATGTCACATAGCCAGCTGGATAAGAGATGGCCTACTTAATGTATCCAGTATGGACGGCTGGATAGCCAACGACGGGTAAGAGCCTCAGAGGAGGACCACCTCAGACAGGCACAGCCGGCTGGATGAGAGATGGCCTACTTAATGAAGTTTTGTGACGAACTTTAAAACAATCTGTCCTTGATCATGTAACATCCTGTGCTTACTGCAGGAGCCTGGGAACCTGGAGCCTGGGAACCGAAATAGCTTAAGATTATTAACATTGTTATAACTTAGATGATATGTGAGGCACCATGCATGTTCTATGTAAATTCTTTTCTAATAATCAATAAACAGAAAACTGCTTTGCTTCTCTCCACACGGTGTTCGTGTGTACATGACATCGCGCCACCAACAGTGGGGAACAGATTTATTTATTTATTCATTTATAATTAGATTTATTTTAATGGAGGTATCAAGGATTGAACCCAGGACCTAGTGCATGCTAAGCACATGCTCTACCACTAAGCTGTACCCTCCCCCACAACATAAGATTTTAAAGTATAGTAATTAGTTTCTTGCTTACCAATCATCCCTGCTCCCAGCATTTGTAGTCACAGCTCTGGTCCTCTAATCAACGTATCGTATTTTTTAAAAACCTTAAGTGACGCTGGGGAAAAAAGGAAAAATGCAGTTATAACACCATCACCCTGTCCCCTTGACATGAACTGCAGTCACACTAGCATCCTTCCCCACCCCCTTTCCACCCGATCCACCAAGAAAACAGCGGACTCCATCCAGTGGGGGCACTCCATTAACTCCACCCATGTTGAGAGCGCGCACACACTCATGAAGGTGTGTAAGCCTTTTTCATGCCTTTATTCCCCTCTTCCCATTTTAGACAACCAATGTTTTAATTGCCCACTCCAGTTCTCTAGCAAACCAGTACTCTGGGGAGGATGTCTCTCCACCCATTGCTGGACATGGGCTGTAAAGTGTGTTCCTTGTCTGAAGAAGTGACAGCTGGCCATCCAAATGGGTGCAGTTTCTTCTGTTCTGCTTCTTTTCCAGCACTCTGAGCATTTGTATCTACCACCAAGTAAGAAAAGCCCAGTCCAAAGTCAGTGTCTGTTTCTGTCCGGACCCCTTTGTAGACCTCCAGGGCTACAAGCATCCATCTCACTCTCTGGCTATGAACAGTCTTCTCCCCAGGGAGATGCCACATATTCATCTGCAGTCTCTATCTGCTGGAAGATGGACAGCTCTAATGGGCTGTGTTTGCCTTGGAGGGTGCAAGATGAACAGATCTAGATTCAGCCCATCTCTGCATTGCTGCTGTGCCCCCAGAATCACTCATTTCATGGACTGAGGTGGCCACTTAAGCAAGCACAGGGAGGGATATCTGTGTGTTGAATCCAAACATCTTAGCAAAGCTGTAAGGGGCTTTTCTGATGGGCAGAGGCATGTCCTATTTTAATACACCCCTCAAATTCCCATGGTGATTCCTAAAGGGCCATGCCTCATCTGGGCAACTTTTCATAGGCCCTCTGCCAGACCACGTAGCCAAGCCATTGCGCCACTGCCAATGAGTCAGTAAAAATCAAAATTCAGGGACCTTTGCCACTGTTTAATTCTATTATCCTGCTAGGAAAATGCATGCAGTTCAGCCCACTGAGCCAATTTATTTTTAACTTTGATCAGAAGCAGGATGTTGTCCATTTACTTTGGAACTTCGGTCCACAGATCTAACAGCCCTTTGTTGGTCACTTGGAGCTATCTGTAGGGCAGTGTCCATGTGACATGAGAATCCAGTGGCTCCTCACATGGTTCCAAAGTCAGTTCCAGGGGAAGAGAGGCTCCCTGATCATACCTCCTCCTTCCATCCCCCAGGGACATGATCCTGTATAAACTATTTCCATTTTGTTACAGAATTCCTCTAAGAACAGACATCACCATTAGGGCACTTCTTCAACATCATCCAAGATATGATGCTATTTCAGGTCCCAAGATTCTTCAAATCCTTTAGTCAAAGGGACAGTTTCCAATAGTGTCCATTAGCCAGCTAACAGGAACAGCAAGCTTGCCTCTCAAGAAGAAATTCCCTATTCCAATGGACCAGTAGTCATTGCTGGGACATGCAATGTTTGTGACCAGTTCCGACTTAGCACGTCCGATTAATGGTGTCGAAGGGCGAATGCACATGCCTTCCGTTTTACAGTACTTGTTAGGAGTAGCATTCCCCAGTCAGAGACAATGTCCACCCCCATAACACAATCAGGTCAAAGAGATGCACCTCTTCACATAAAGCCTGTTGAAATATAGCTGTTCTCCAAACATTCACCTTAATTAAATCAGCTCTTGCATCCTTAACTGTAACCTCCAATAGCACTTTATTAAGTTTTACTTTTGCACCTCTAAGTAGGGGATTTGTGTTTCATTGCCAGAGGTAATGTCCATTCCCATAAAACATTCAGGTAAAGGAGACACAACCTTTTTACATAATGCCTGTGTAAACATTCCAATTTTTATAATCCCATCGGCCCTTACGTCTTGATGTTCTCAGTCTTGCTGTGGCTCATGTCAGGACTTCACCAGTGGGTTTTGGTATCACCATTGGCGGGGCTCCCACATCAAGGAGTTCTGGAAACTTCTCTTTCCACCACTGACCCTTTTACCCACTCTTCTGCAGAAAGGCTTTGGGTCCCCCAGAAAGGGTCGTGTTAAGGGACTCTGGCCCTTTGGTCAGTCTTCATCTGGATCAATCTGCCTAACCATTGTTCAAAGTGATGGCAGGTTAGATTTCTCATTACAATTTGACTTTCGGCTTTTAAGATTTCTCCAAACTAGGGAAAATAGAGCTGACTTGTTTGGGACTCCCTGATGAAGGAACAGTAGGAGTGCTTTGGGCCAACCCAATGTTTGGTAGTACTGGTTTAGAACCTTTGTCTGAGCCCCATCAATTTCCATTTTATTCATCCCATTTCTTAATAATCACCTGATGATTCATAAACTGTCCCCCTACTCACCGAGGGCAAGGAGAGACTGAATGAAGAGGAAGATCACACCAGATTGGTGGGTGGCAGGTTTAACGAGCAAGGGAACTTAACTACAAGGCTTGTCTGGGGGGGAGTCACAAGATACAGAGATCTCCACACCCACTCAATACATCTTAAAAAGTTTATACAGAGGCCTTAACTGGGTCCAGTCACATATTTAGTCGGGATGGTCTCAACAACGCCACACTCTCTCAAGGCCATATTCTTGCAACAGCTCCCACTATGGAAAATGTGGGCAGAACATAAGGGCTGCTTGGGTACTTCTTGGTGAACGTGGCTAAGGTCTTCTTGCTCGTCTTTCCTCCTCAAGTGCAAGGTCACAGCCAAAGGGATGCCTCTTGCAAGAAAGTTAAGTGGGACGGGAGGATGGAGTGACACAGGTAAGGTGTTTCCATTTCTGGGGCCAGCCTTGGTTTTTTTTTTATTCTCCACACAGTCCCTGCCGCTTCTTAAAAAAAAAATGTTTATTGAAGTACAGTTGATGTATAATATTATATAAATTACAGGTATACAATATAGTGATTCACAATTTTAAAGGTTATAGTCCACTTATAGTTATTATAAAATCTTTATTCCCTGTGTTGTATAATATATCCTTGTAGCTTATTTATTTCAATTTTTTTGATAAATAAGTTCATGTGTAAATGTACTCAACATACATAACTGACCTAAAAACTTCAGTAGAAAGTTAAGTTTTAAAACCACTTGGAAAGCCATCTCTATGAAGTGATTTTCCCAGGACCTTATACCAGATGACACCATCTTAACTGGCAGAGGTTCCATGAACTGGAGTCTCTGTTCGCATTCATCGTTAGTGAAAGATGGGATGACTCCAGGTAGAAACACAGCATATTATAAACAATTTCTTACCAAAATAGCCACAAGTTAAACCAAAGTACTTTACAGATTTTGCTACACACCACCATAAAAATGGCCCTTACGCTCTCTCATGCGGTATCCAGCAAACCTGTCTTCAGACATGACGACTCTCTTAGCGTGCGTAGCACACAGATTAGTATCTTCAAATAAACCCACCAGGGGCACTTCACTAGCCTCCTGGAAGGCACCAAGGGCAGCACTCTGGAACCTCAAGACAGTTTTGAAATCCTGGGCCATCTCCCTCACCAGCCTCTGGGAAGGCAGCTTCCGGATCAGAAGCTCAGTGGATTTCTGGTAAGCGCAAGGGTCGCCAGCCTGCAGCAATGAGGTTTTTTCACCCCGGCAGTAGAAGGGGCACTTTTCTCGGCAACTTTAGTGGCCAGCTGTTTGCCGTGCGCTTTCCCACCCATGGACTTTATACCATGTCTTCTTCATCCATTTATCTGATGATGGACACTTAGGTTGCTTCCATGTCTCAGCTACTGTAAATAATGTTGCTATGAACAATGGGGGTGCATGTATCTTTTTGTATTAGAGTTCTGGGGGATTTTGGGGGTATACACCCAGGAGTGGAATTGCTGGGTCATGTGGTAATTCTATTTTTAGTTTTTTGAGAAACCTCCATAGTGTTTTTCCACAGCAGCTGCACCAGTTTGCATTCCCAACAGTGTAGGAGGGTTCCCTTTTCTCCACATCCTCGCCAACCAACGTTTGTTATTTGCATTCTTTTAGATGGTAGCCATTCTGACAGGTACGAGGTGGTATCCCATTGTGGTTTTGATCTGTGTGGTTAGCAATGTTGAGCCTCTTTTCATGTGCCTGTTGCGTTGCGGCTTCTTAATTGAACTCCAAAGTTCTCCCAGAGCTATTATCATTAGTGAATAATTATCAAACGGTTGGTTTTATCAGGTACAAGTGCTGGGATCTCCTAGTCCACCATGCTGCTGATTCCTAATTTTTCTTTAAGAGATAAAGCTAGTCCATAGAAAATAGGTATTTTTTACATGGTATTGTCATCAGTGGGGTGCTTTCAGAGCTCAATTGGGACAAGCTAGGAAAACCAGCTGGTTTCTGCTATTTCTCCAAAGACCTGATGACTGTCCTTTACACTGAAATTGGGTTGAGGACACAACTCAGAGCACAGAAATTACTGGCAACGATGAAAGATAGAAGGTTTTTTTTTGTTTGTTTTTGTTTTTTTTACTTAGGGAAAAAGAGAAATTCCTGGACTGTGACCTGTTTAAACTGACATGGACCTATTAAAGGTGTTTGGAAATGTCTCTCAGTTGGTCAATATTTGGGTCACAGAACTTTCTCAGGATCTAGACATCACACTGAAGATCAATGCCCGTCATACTCCCTCAATCGGAGCACTCTGGGAAGAGGTCGTGATCCAGACTCCAGGGACCATCACCCCCAGGTAAGGCATATAATTGTATAAACTGATCCAAGTCATAAGGAGTGGAGGCCCAAGGAAGGTCAAAGTCTCTGAAATTTATCTGTTGGAGATCATCAGGCAGCAGCCCACAAGATGAACTGCACGGAGTAGCACCGGCCGCCTGAGGTTGCTCAATACCAGGCTTAGGTGGTTCATGGTCAGAGGCATCTGAGATGCTGAGATCTGTGGGACGACTGTTTGCTGAAGTGGCAGGTGAGGAGGCCTCTTCCTCCTCCACTGAACTGACCTGTTGTGGGTCTTCTAGTGACAGATTCTCCCCAGTTTGCTGCTCCCGCTTCCTCCATTTGACACGCTGATTCTTAAACCAAGTCTGGGGAGGGAAGAGATGAACAGGTGCATAAGACGGGATAGGTCCAAAGGGGGATCCTCATACACCTCAGAAACTAGGCAGCTTTGGGCATGTGAAAGCTACTCTTACATGTCTTCATATTTATTTGAATGAGGAAAGTTCTTTCTATCCTCTTCTGTTCTGGGATCCAGAGAGCAAAGGGCGTGTAAGATTGTGTTAGCAATGGGGAGAACAGGACAGAGCACTTCAAGCCTAGATCGGGAGGTATGTTTAGGAAAGTCGGTTTTGTCTTGGTGGACACTCTGGGTTCTCTAAGCAAGGATTCTGAAGCCTGAGAATATGGAGTGGGAGTCTGGCTTGGGGGTGCCTTCAGGATTCATCAAGGGGTTCTTATGCCCTGAACATTCTGTGGGCACTTAGTTGAAAGGTATCTAGATGATCATGAATGTCATGATTAACGAGAACCAACAGGAACAAACCCAAATGGGAGTATCTGAGATCCATGGACAAGGGATCTCATCTAGCATTGTGGGTCTAGAGTCAGAAAGGCCTGGGTTCAAATTCTAGCTATTTTGTTTATAATTCTTGGAAAACAATTCCTCTCTATTAACTTCAATAAAAGGAATGATCATTAGAATAAATACATAAATGCTTAACATCTGTCCTGGCACATAGCAATCACTCGAGCAATTCGAATTACACAATGACTGAAAGCATGTGTGAAACTCTGGGTTAGATGTGCTCTCTAGCTACCTAGAGACAGAATCAGGGACATACCTTTATTATCGACTCGTCAAGATGAATACTTGAAGAAAGCTGGTTTACAATGAACCAATTTGGGTACCTGGTCTTTTCAAATGTATCTCTTAGTACTCTAAGTTGTCCCCGACTAAAGTGTGTGCGGAATCGGCGAGTGGTACTCGGCTTTTCTGTAATGGGGATAGAAAAAAGGCTTTCGTACAAAATATCCCCAATAATAAAGGTAGTGGATAAATCACGTACAAAGCAAGAAGAAAGGGTAAAAGATACAAGGAGGGTGTATAACATAAAAATATGTAAAATGTGCCATCAAAAACATAAAACCTGGGAGGGGAGAATTAAACATATAAAGTTTGGGATGTGTTCTAAATTAAGTTACTGTCAACTTAAAAGAGATTATCAAATACATAGGATATCATATATGTGAACTTCATGGTAACCACAAAGAAAACATTTCTATTAAATACCTAAAGAAAATGAGAAAAGATACAAACATAACACTAAAGAAAATCAAACCACAAGGGAAGAGAGAAAGAGAAGAAGAAAGAACAGAGAGGAACTACAAAAACAGCCAGAAAGTAATTTTTTAATGACAATCATTACATACTTATCAGTAATTACTTTAAATGTAAGTGAACTGAATTCTCCAATTGAAAGACATAGGTGGCTGAACAGATTTAAAAAAAACCTAAGGCCTTTCTATACAATGGCTACAAGAGATGCACTTCAAAACTAAAGATACTAAACAAACAAACAAAAACAAACAAAAAAAAACACCTGAAGATACAGACTGAAAGTAAAGAGATAAAAAAAAGCTATACCATGCCAATGGAAAGGAAATGCAAACTGGTGTAGCAATACTTACATCAGAAAAAGTGACTAAAACAAAAGATTGTAACAAAGGACAAAGAAAGGCATAACAGAATGATAATGGGGCCAACCTACCAAAAGGATGTAACATTTATAAACATTTATGCTCCCAACATAGGAGGACGTAAATATAGAAAGCAAATATTAAAGATGAAATACACAGCAACACAAGAATAGTTGGGGACTTTAATATAATGAATCAAGGACTATTATTACATTTTTAAGGAAACTACTTTCAACCTAAAATTCTCTAAGCAGTCAAATTTATCCTTCCACGTGAAGACAGGATAAAGACACTTTCAGATGCTCATTGGTTCAACCAATTTACCTTCCATGCACTACATGAGGATGTAGTTCAACCTAGCAAAATAAAGAACAAGCGGGAATTTATGTAGAAGAAAACAGAGTAACATGGGGAAGTCCCAGGCTGAGGCCTATACACCAGGCCTGGAAAGCAAACGGAGCTGATTCCAGGAGGACAGAAGTACCTGTGTAAAAGACACAAGTCCCAAATGGAGTCATCTGTGTAAGCCCCATACCAGCAAACCAAAACTCAATACTTAGCCTAACTGCAGTTTCAGCCTCTCCCAGGAATGGGACCTTTAACCAGTCAGTCTGGAATTTCCTGGCCAGCACCGGTGAGGTAATCTGCCACACAGACCTCTACCTCCCCACAAAGGTGACTGCCTGAAATAATCCTTTCTCTCGTTTATGACTTCCTTGTCCCACACACTTTCTGCCTCTAAAATCTTTCCATTTTGTACAGCTCCTCAGAAGCGCCTTTCGATTTCCTAAACTGGATGTTAGTCATTTCATTAATTGTTGAATAAAGCCAATTAGATCTTCAAATTCCCTCTGTTGAACTTCGTTCTTTAATACACCATATAAGAGACAATCAGTAAAATTGATTCATTTGATTATCTAATTGGCTTGGATATTCGGGAGAAAATACTGAAGATGCCATCGGCCAAACTGATAAATCAGACAGTTCAAAGTTAAGAAGGATGCATCTTAAGCATATGAGAAAAAAGAAAGAATATTAACTCAAATTATACAGTTTATGTTACATGAATCATTTCAGTATAAATTAACTCTGCAGTGAATAATATTTACATGTGATTAAATTGATATTGACTTAATCAAATTATTATTACATTATTATTAAATTATTTTAATTAACCAATGTTAATTTTTACCCTCTATTAGTAAGTTGTATAGAGTAAAACTGAGGAGAGATGTGGCTATGAGTCTAAAATCTTCATCTACCAAACTGAAAGGACAATATCAAAATTGATGAATGAATTAATTTCATTAGTTCAGTATTAAACAATATGGATGGAACATGTACCAAAGGAACCAGTTACAATTTCTGATAAGTGAGCATGTTGAGGCATAACACTGCTTTTTTTTCTAACATTAAAATAATTTTTAAAGCAATTGAAATGGAAAAGATAAATAAAATTATTTTCACATGCCTGGTCAAGAAATACACTTCTATGCTAGGCTTTCTAAATGCCAATAATAAAAGGGAAAAGCTGATAAATATCACAGCACCAATATTTAAAATATCTGGACATTAGAACTCATGAGTAAATTTTAAAACAGATTGGGAGAATATATTTGCAACAATGTAAGAGACAAATTGTTAGTGTCTAGAATACAACAAAAATGTCCTGCTAAAACTCAAGGGGAAAAAGAAAACACTAGAGAAACAGCAAAGGAGAGAAGTGGGAAATTAGCACACAAGAAAAGCAGAATGGACTTTAAAATAGAGTGAAGAGTCTCAGTTGCACTAGTTAATAAAGAAATGCAATTGGATCAAATTTTAAGAACCCACTATTAAAAACAAGACAATAGACCCAAAATGGAGTCACTTACACCAAGTTCCATATCAACAAACCGAGACAATTTAGTTTCAGCTCTCCCAGAAATGGAATCTTAAACAAATCAATCACTAATTGCTCCATCAGCTCAGTTAGGTAACTTCCTGATAGGCCCCTGCCATCCTATAAAGGGAAGGAACTCTGCAATAATCATCTGCTTTTTCGCTTTATATAACTTCCGAGTTCCTCCACCCTGCCTATAAGTCATTCATTTTGTACAGCTCCTCGGAGCCCGTTTTGATCTGCTGGATTGGATGCTGCCCCATTCTTGAATCATTGAATAAAGCCAACATGATCTTCAAAATTTGTTCATTTGAATTTTGGTTTTGAACACCACCAAATGACTGACATTTTTAAAGTATGACAACATCAGGTGTTTAAAACGTGGAGAAACAAAAACTCACATTACTGGCAGGAGTCAAGTTACTGATTGTTTTTCAAATACTCTCTATTGGTACAACCCAGTGGTTCACCAAACTGACAACCCAGGGATGACCACAAACTCTCACCTCTCTCGCCTTAGTTTATCTACAACCCAATCACTCAGCCTCTAGCATCTTAAGTTTACATTGCCTTTGCCCCAGCTTACCTGCCATGTATCCTTCAGAAGAGCAATGAATCAACCAGGTGTGTTTTCTGACTGAAATTTAGTCTAAGTGTCTACTGGGCTTAGAAGTCTAATATTTAAGCAAAATTTTAATGCAATCAGATCCCACCCTATTCTCCCTAATGCCACACCCTCCAATGATCCACTCAGCACAGGCTTATTGAGAACCTCTTTTGTGCCGGGTGTTGTGCAGGGTCCTTGGAATAAAAGTGTGACTCAAGATCTAATCCCTGACCTCAAAGAGTGGAGGAAAAATAAATGAAAGTCAAGAAGAAAATGGATAAAATATTCACAACTGTCACTCAGGACAAAAGAGTAAACAAAAAGGGTGCTGGGAGAAAGAATAAGCTGGTAAGACACCCGAAATTGGAAGGTGAGGAAGAGACTCTGCGTGGGCAGATCTTTGTGTGGCCTGGGGTGCAAGCAGGAGGTGCCAGGGGACAGCGTGTGGGGAAGATGGACTGTCAAAGCCCCCAACATCCAGTGTTGCCCAGCCTTTCACACACAAGACAGCAGCAAACCTGGGTGAAGAACTTAGCAGAGCTTAAATCATAGAGGTCCTCATAACGTTTGTGAAGGAGTTTGGATTTGCGACAGTTGAAATCCCATGAAGAATTCTAAGTAAGGGAACTTAACATATGAATTGTATTTTTAAAAAAATCATGCCTCTCAAAATGCAAATCAAAACCACAATGAGGTATCACCTCACATCCATCAGGATGGCCATCGTCAAAAATCTACATAATACATGCTTGAGAAGGTGTGGAGAAGAGGAAACCCTCCCACACTGTTGGTGGGAATGTAAATTGGTGCAGCCACTATGGAGGACGGTATGGAGGTTCCTTAAAAACTAAAAACAGACTTACCATATGATCCAGCAATCCCACTCCTGGCCACGTATCTGGGGAAAACTCTAATTCGAAAAAACACATGCACCCCTGCGTTCATAGCAGCACTATTTACAATAGCAAATAAATGCAAGCAACCTAAATGTCCATCAACAGATGACTGGATAAGGAAGATGTGGTTGTGTGTGTGTGTGTGTGTGTAAAATGGAATATTATTCAACCAGAAAAAAATGAAATGCCATTTGCAACATGGATGGGCCTGGAGATTGTCATACTAAGTGAAGTAAGTCAGACAAAGAAAGACAAATACCATACGATATCACTTACACGTGGAATTTTTAAAAACACAAATTTTATTTACAAGCCGGAAATAGACTCATGGACATAGAAAACAAATTATGGTTACCAAAGGGGAAGGGGGAGGAGAGATAAATTATGAGTTTGGGATTAACAGATACACATTACTATATACATGGCATTTTTCTTCCTCTTTTTGGCTTACTTAGAATGATGATCTCCAGGTCCATCCGTGTTGCTGCAAATGGTATTGTTTTATTCTTTTTATGGCTGAGTAGTATTCCATTGTATAAATATACCACATCTTTATCCATATGGTAAGTCAGACTTTATTTTGATTTCATCACTTTTCCTACTAATGTCTTTTCTCACACATTATTTTTTGGAGCAGTTCTAGGTTCTAAGCAAAATTGAGAGCAAAATAATTTCCATGTACACCATCTCCACACATGCAGAGCCTCCCCACTCTCCACATGCCCCATCAGTGGTACGTTTCTTATAATAGATGAGCCTACACTGACACATCATAATCATTCAAAATCCATAGTTTACCTTAGGGTTCACTCTTGGTGTTGTACATCTGATGGGTTTGGACACATGCATAATAACATATATTCATCCTTATAATATTATGCAGAGTATTTTCACTGCCCTAAAAATCTGCACTCTACCTACTCATCTCCCTCACCCCTGGGAACCTCTGATCATTTTACAGCCACCATAGTTTTACCTTTGAGTATCCTATAGTTGGAATCATACAGTATGTAGCCTTTTCGGATTGGATTCTTTCACCTTAAGGTTCTTCCATGTCTTCTCATGGCTCCATAGCTCATACTTTTTAATGCTGAATCATATCACATTGTCTGGATGTACCACAATTTATTCATCCATTCACCTACTGAGAAACATCTTGTTTTCTTCCAAGTTTTGGCAATCATGAGTAAAGCTGCTATAAACATTCGTGTGCAGGTTTTTCTAGGGACATAAAGTTTTCAGCCCTTTTGGGTAAACCATTTAGGAGCACAACTCATGGATCACATGGTAAGAATATTCTTAGTTTTGTAGGAAACCATCAAACTATCTTCCAAACTGGCTGTACCATTTTGCACTCTCACCAGCAATGAATGAGAGTTCCTGATGCTCCACATCCTCACCAGCATTTGGTGTTGTCATTGTTCTAAATTTTAGGCATACTAAAAGTGTGTAGTGGTATCTTGTTTTAATTTACAATTCCCTAATAACACTTGATGTTAAGCATCTTATCACAGGCTTATTTGACATCTGTATATCTTCTTTGTTGAGGTCTGTTCAGATCTTTGGCCCATTTTAAAAACTGATTTGTTCTCCTTGTCATTGACTTTAAAGCGTTCTTTATTTATTTTAGACAACAATATTACCAGATACGTGTTCTGAAATTACTTTCTCCCAATCTTTGGCTTGTCTTCTCATTCTCTTGAGAGTGTGCAGGGTTGTGGGGTTTTTTTGTTTGTCTGCTTGCTTGTTTGTTTGTTTTACTTTACCAGAAAAGAGATCTTTTTCAGCCAGTAGTTCTCAAACTTTAGGGTGCATGAGGACCACATGGAAGGCTTGTAAAAACACAAAAGGTTGGGTCCCACCCCCAGAGTTTATGATTCAGTAGACACGGACTGGGACTCACAAATATACATTTTCATAAGTTCCCAGATGGGCTGATTTGTTGGTCTGGGGACCACACTTTGAGGATCACTGTTTTCTTAGCAACCCCAGGGTAGTCTTTTCACATATACTGAAACCTCCTGGTGACTTCATGGATGAACTATTAAGCCTTAGGCCAACTCTGTATCTGTTATAAATATTTTCAATATCAAGTTTTGATGCCAGTTTTTTGTTTTAAAGAACCATTTTAATTTAGGTCATTATGAAGTCTAAAAATTTCAGGAATACTCAATTACTTTCAACTACGGATAGACTTTAATTTTAATGTTTTCTGAAATTGTGTACTTTCTATGATTCGGAGAGAATTTGGTTTAAAAGGGGTCATTTGCAATGCTGTAAAAATCACCAGTGATTCACACTGTGGGAGAGAACAGCTAGATACTCACCAATTATATTTTCTCTTTCCCAGGCATGTAGAAAAATACATATGGATACTGATCCATAATTTTCCTTTGTTGTGATATCTTTGTCTGGCTTTGGTATCAGAGTAACCTTGGCCTCACGGAATGTTTTATATAATTCAGCAGTGAAGTCATCTCATCTAAGGGGATTTTAATTGGGAGGTTACTGATTCAATCTCTCTACTCTTATGGTTCTATTTATATTTTATATTTTTGTTGAATCAGTTGCGGTATGTTAAAAACAAAAACAAACATTCATTGAGTGGCCAAGATGGCAGAGTAGGAAGACCCTGGGCTCACCTCCTCCCATGGGCACACCAAAATCACAACTATTTACAAAGCAACGATCTATGAGAATGACCTGAAGACTAGCAGAAAAATCTTCTACAACTAAAGATACAAAGAAACCACAAGATAAGCAGGAGGGGCAGAGATGCAGTATAACAGAGACCCACACCCCTAATTAGACAAACCATAAATGAGAGGATAGTTACCACAGCAGAAGTTCTTCCAAAGGAGGGAGGGGTCTGAGCCCACAGTGGGCTCCCCAACCCAGGGGTTCTACATCAGGAAGACAAACACCTAGAACATTTGGCTTTGAAAGCCAGTGGGATTTGGGGGAGAATCAGAGGACTGTAGGAAACAGAGACTGCATTCTGAATGGGTGCGTACAAAATCTCTCATGCTCTGAGACCCAGGGCAGCCATGGTAATCTGAAGGGAACCTGTGTCAGACACACTTGCTGATCTTGGGGAGCATCCTGGAGAGGCAGAAGGAAACTGGGACTCACCCTGGGAAAACAGACACTGCCAGCAGCCATTCTGGGGTGCTCGTTTTATTACGAGGACACTGCTGCTGCTGACAAGTGCCATTTTGGAATCCTCCCTTTAGCTTATTAGCACCAGGACTTACACTTGTTCATTAGTCAGTTAGCACCAGTCCTGGGGCTGCCCCAGGACCTGGCCCCACCCACCGGAGGCTCCAGGACCCTGCCAAGCCCACCAATGGGCTGGTACTAGCCCTGAGACCCGGGGCCCTGCAGCTGGCCTTCAGGACACAGCTCTTGCTCACCAGTAGGTGACGCCAACTCCAGGATCCCAAGAACCCTACAACAGAGGCCCTGGGACACAACACCACCCATCAGTGGGCTGACACAGCTCTGGGAACCCTGTGCCCTATAGCTAGAAACGCCAGGACCTGGCTCCACCCATCAGTGGTCCAGCAACATCCCCAGGACACAGCCTCACCCACCAGGGTGCAGACACCAGCCCGAGGACCACCTCAACCCTGCAGTCAGTTGAGTCAGGACTTGGATCACCACTAGCAAGCTGGCACCAGCCCCAAGACACCTTGGGCCCCCGATCCAGCTGCCCCAGAATCCAGCCCCATATGTCAGCAGGGCAGTACAAGCTCTGGGACTCTGACCCCTCAGCCATTCAGACCAGAGCCTGGCTCTGCCCGCCCGTGGGCCACCACTAGCCCTGGAACACTTGGGGCTCCACAGCCAGCAGCCTCATGCCCCAGCCTCACCCACTAGTGGGGCGGCACCAGGACAGGGACTCCCTGGGCCATGCAATTTCAGCCTCTTTGTTCCTCCTCCTTAAAACAAACAAACAAAAAGCAACCTAACGCAAAGAACCATGTCAGAATGGATCTGAGGTTTGTCTCAAAGTCCTTGCTTGGCACCCTTCAATAAACCTTACTTTGCTGCAAATACACATTGTCAGAATCTGTCTTTCTGCACCTGGAGTACAAGAGCTCCTGCTCAGTTACAATCTGACAACCACAAAGGGACCTCTCAGGTTCCTTTGAAGTTAGTGTCCATGGTCTGCTGGCTCTCTGCAGGTTCAGGGATTTCCCTTTGTGGATACAGCAGATGCCCAGGCCTCTTTGGCCTAGGGATCTAGCTGGGGAATCCCCTTTGCAGCCCAGCATCAGCAACACTGGGCAAAGTTCTAGGCTTGCAGTAAGAAACAGTTTTTGGATTGACCTACATCTAGTGCTAAGCAACCAGCACAACAGTGTGGGCCAAAAACATTTATTCCCAGTATTGTGGTGCCCTTCTAGGCCCATTGCCTGGTATTGGGGGAGGAATTGGGTTTGAGAAAAGTAAGAGCCTAAAGTCGTCTTTGGAATTAGTTTGGCTTTAAATTTTTTGAAACTGGTTTGACGTTAAACCTTTTGGAAGTGGTTCAACGTTTCTCCGGTAAGTATATATTTATCTTAAAGAAGGTGCATTATTTTAATTGGCAGACATGGAAAAGGGAAGCTCAGTTCCTAAAAACAGTCCTTTAAAATGCATCCTACAAAACTGGACCACTTTCAGTTGTTATGGTTCCATTACTAAAGCCAAAGTGATTTTTTTTTTGGTAACACTGCATGGCCATAATATTCTTCAGACTCTAGAGAAGAATGCCCAAGATAAGGCTCATATGACAATCCAAAACTGGTTTTACTAACTTGATAAAATATTTTTTCAGAATTCT